AGATTAGGAGCCTTGAAGTTGTCTACCACACAGAGCACTTGAACAGAAGGATACAAGTCAAGCAGGTCACAGTGTTTGCTTACTAAGGTGAGAGGTATTGTGTTTCTATATGAATAATATATTAAGATACATTGGCTGAAATCCTGTTGCTCAGTTAAGCTAAAGGTGTAACTGTGTAAGTTAAGAAATCTACAAACTGCAGTAAGCTAAGAAATCTCTGTAAGTGTTATGTGTTGCAAGCCAAGTTACACAACTCTGCAACAAATAATATCTACAGAGATTTCTTAAATTATGGCTTTTGTGTAACAGCACAACAAGATTTCAGACATTATTTAAATGTGCATCATTGTTTCTAAGTTTGCATCTGAATCTATAGCATACACAAACTTTATGCAATTTCCTGCCCTCTTGTGTCCTCTTTTTAGTGTTGCATTTCCTCTTTTTGGCATTGTATATGTTGCCAAGCTAGCTCACATACCACTCCATGGACAATTTCATTGTAAACAAAAACAGCATAGTTATTATTAGCAAGAGATAAGTGGAGGAAAAAATCAAAATAACATACAACTAGCACTTGTAAAAGTTATGTTTTTGACACAAAAGTTAATTTTTGGCACAAAAGTTACTTTTCTGACATCATTCCCACAGTCTCCCAGCCATATTGCCTGAGGGATTCTGGAAGCCACCATCCAAAAAGATAACCTTTCCAAAGTCTGAATATCAGAGTTTTGATTTGGTTTGAAGAAAGAAACAGCAACCAAATAAGATAGACTGCATGAGCAAAAAATTCCCAGTGTGTCTCCCTCACTCCCCACTTCCCAGCGCATAAGCACATGTTTTCAAGCAGGTGTGAAAGAGCCAGGGCACAAACAAAGCGATAAAAGATAGAACAGTTCTCAGAAGGCACTTGAGAGGCCTCATCGTAAGCACGACACATCAACTTCAGGCAGGCTGAGATACCATTATCTAGTTCACAGATGGACCACCCAGAAAAACCTGGGTGCAATTAGGGAGGAGAAAAAACAAATGTGCAGTGGAGGAAGGGGGGTAAGGGGAATCATTGGGGAGGTGGAAATGGGGAAAGGGCCAAAGGACTGGCAAGGATTCCTGATACTGTCCGCTTCCAAGCGGAACCCAGTGAAGAAAAGGAGCACAGATGAAAGAGCCTGCAAAGAGAATGTAATGAAATAAACAGCTACAAAAACATACAGTATAAGAATGAGTCACAGCATGGCTGTTACATTTCTGGAATGCTGAAACAGCAAGTTAACATTATTGAGAGAAGAAAGTGATCACACGCCTTGAGACAAATTGTACATTCTGAAATACTTAAAGGTACATGTATGCCCCCCCCCCCCCGTGCCTTCAAGGTGACAATGAACGAGGTTTCTTTGTAAACAAGGACTGTCTTCGAAAGTGTGCAGATGGAGCAGCTGCACACACAGAATTGCTTTTAGATAGCAGAGATCCTTCAGATATGGTGGGGGCTGGACCTCACCCCTGCTCTCCCTCTTCCGTGACTGATTAATTTCTGCTTTTTCATGAAGGCCTCCAGATGCCTAGCAACAGGAACTGGACTAAGTACTAGAACAATACACAAAACATTGCATCCACAGCACAGCTTTTGAATATTTGAGACAAATGTATATAATGATCTGTTGAAGGCATCTATAACTGAGCAGCAGTAAGACTGCAGAGCATCCCAGAGCATCATTTGAAAGGACCTCAATCGCGGATAACTTTGTAATACACATGCTTATGCAAAATAACTATCCAGACTCTGACACAGATATGGAATTCTACTTCTAGAAGTATGATGAAGTCAGAATAAGTTACTGTATGCTATAATTACAACATGTAACGAATGCTGAAATAAAAAGTGAAGAGAATATCAGTAAATAAGTATCATAATATTTACTATAGAAACATGGTTTGCAGTAAGGTATAGACAACCAGTAACGCAAACAGGTTTTGAGAAAGGAAAATAAGAAAGGAATTTGTTCTTTCCACTGAATTTCAGAAACATTTAGCTTGGCAAACATGGAAATCATAAGAGGTCTAAGCCATTGATGGGCATTGTACAAACAGACTGATGTACGAAGCAGTAGTTCTTGAGACCGTTTAAAGTTTTAGCATTACTGCCAAGATTTCTGCATGGTTAACTGTGACTCACAAAGCATTATGTAAGGAAAAAGACTTTCAGGTTTACCTCCCCCCTCCACTTGCTTCAGCTACAGCTACAATATGGCAATTAGCTTACTTCAGAATAGATGTAAAAGACTCAAAGGCTGACCCCTCCCTCTGAAGTCCCATTCCACTCAGGCTAGAAGTTGAGAAGGTTTGTTCAAATCCTGCTTAATTATTGTGAAGTTTCTTGGCAGGTCACATGGTACCATATTGTTTGAAGGACGCAAGTATTTGTTATAAAACCTTTTTGAACTTGTGGAGCTTTCCCATTTGCTGAGGCACAACTAAATTCTTTAAAAAGGGCTAAATGAAGACATCTCAAGGAGTTGGGGAAGGGGGAAAGAGACAAAAAGGCTTGCTAGACGTCTCTTTAGTGTCTTTCACATGAGAACAAAGTCCCTCTGTGGTACATACATTCCTATACAATGAAGAATTCAATAATAGCAGAAGGATCCATATGGTCTACAAGAATGGGGAAGCATATAAGTCATGAGAGTACTTTTAATTATATGGCTTAAAGATGAAAGTCGTCACAGGCTACAAGGTGAACTCAGAATGATGTTTGCTGGCCAAGCATTCTACTCATAGGTAGAAGGTAATTGTTGCTCTACTGCACAGACAAAATAGTGTGACAGGAAACAATGGACAGGAGTCAGCTTTAGCCTTATTTCGAACAGACCCACAGAGATTAATAGGATTTCACTTAGTCATGTGAAAGACTTTCATCTCTGAGTTCACTGTGTTTCTCTAAGTTACACCTGCATTCTGATCCCATCCTTGTTTCTAATCTTTGCAAAAATATTGGCTTTCATATGCCACCTCCATAGACATCATTTTAGATGCATTTTTCCTACAGTAAGCATTCTTGCACATCTTTTTCTCCTTTGACCAGAAGGTGTTCAATTGTATGCATTGTTAGTTGCTTGCATTTTACAAACATACACAGGATTTTCTATGTCATTTCTTTCTCTGAAATATATCACAAACCTTGCATATGTAAAAATCTTTGAAACAAGCTGTGTTTTGTCTCACAATGTGTTCTGTGCATGTGGTTTGCTAAGTATCACAACTCTAACAACATTCTTCTTTATTCCTAAAGTTTCCCTGATTTCAGTGTGTCTACTCTAAGCCTGATTGGCCAAAATCCTGTTGTGCAGTTAGGCATATGCTGTAATTTATAGAGGTGGATTCCCATAAGTTTAGAGATCTCCATAGACATTATCTGTCATGCCTTGAGTCATGCAACTCAGTATGCAACAGATATCTACAGAATAATTTGCTTCCCAAAATTACACCAGATATGTACTGCACAAGAGGATTTCAGCCATTGTGTTTGTTTAAATATATGCTGTTCAGTGATTTATGAATGCTTGATCCTGCTAAAGGCAGGATGGGGATATTGGATTTGTTTTTCCTTCATGCTGTCAAGTAATTTTTTTTATTTATTATGAACTTAGTAAGAATTTCAAGTTAAGCAAGATGCTGTTCAATGAGAAGTTTATCGTTGCTCTCCTCCAGTGAATCACTTGAACCCAAGTCTTCTGAGTTCTACTCTGATATGCTATTCACTTCCCCACACTGGTTTTCGCTATACTACATAGTTTTAGTACTGTCCAAAAAATGTCATGGATCCAAGCAAGTGTATGATTAGTTGTAGCCAAGGGAGCTTTGAGCTTGTGTTTCTAGAACAGCAACTCCCAGATCCCCATGTTGAACAGTAAGCCTCTTTGGCAACAGAGCAAGGTTTGATAGAAGATATTATATTTATTTATTTATTTAAAACACCTGGGCTCCACATAGGCAACAGGTGGATCCCAAGATGACTTACAGTGTCATTGGGTATGTTCAAGTTTCTGGTCATGCCACAATCCTTGAAATTCTAAGTATCCACAAAAGGTTATGTGAACATGAGTCATAGCTCCACTGTTGGTACTGAACTTGAGCATAATGTCATAGAAGTCCTGGCATAAACCCCATCTCTTGCACCAGTCTTGTTCATCTAAAAGGAGCTTGGGAGCAAAATGTTTGAAGCAGATGCAATTTTGTTTTCTATCCCTATTGATCTTTGTATTTTTCTAGTTCAAGCAGAGCTGGGACGTTTTAGCACTTTGCTAATGTGGTAATACTAAACTTATAAAGAAATTCAATTTGCTTACATTACAACACTGGGAAATTACAATATGTAACTCTTTCCTTACATTAACAACTAAGAACCCAATTGAACATTAAAATGTTAAATAAAAATAATCTGAAATTACTTAAAATGGCCAAAAAATAACCAACCTGTCAAGCTAGCTTCTGAAATAATAATTTAAATCATGAAGAATTGTTAATCACTATTTAATATTGTTGACAGCTAACACTGAAACGACAACATTCTAGGTCATCGTTGAACAATCTAATGATAGAATGATAGTGAATTAATTAATTTCTAACAAACTACTGCAAGATCTGGTTTGGAGGCACAGTCAATCCATTAGCATTGGCAAAGCAACAACTGAAAATGAAAAACCACCTGAAATCATAATGTGGAGCACTTACCATTCCAAACAACAAAAACAACAATTACAGTCTATCATAGAAAAAGCAGTATATAAAGCCTTGGGTTTGGCTGTATGTATCAACATATGATGGGTGGAACAGTGAAAAATGGAAGCTTAGAAAAATAAAATAAAGCGGGTGTTATGAGTGAAGTTGCAAGGAGCCTGGAGGATGCCACCAGGCAGCGATGCATAGATTAATAATAATGATGGGAGAAAAAGGGGGGAAATATTGATCTGGCATGCTTCCAGTTTAGATGGAATTGCCCCCACCTCTTTCCATTACTATCTCGTAGCATAGATTTTCTCAGCTCTTTGGACTTAGCTTCCAACTCCTGAACCTGTTCCAGCAAAGTTTTATGGTAGGTATGCTTGGCCCTGTATCACAGAAGAAAAGACACAAAACACAGAAACCAACACATCAACATTTCTTGGCTGCAGAAAGCTCACATTTCTTTATGCAGGGACAAATGGACAAATATCTCCTTTCGTCCAAGGCAGGCCATGGCATTTTGGCTTTCAAGGTTGCAGAGGTTGTTGGTCTCCCCCTCCAACCTGGATCATGTCTGACATTCTTAGTAGCACCAGGGGCATAGTTACTGCTCCAAGGTTATGGATGGGGATAGGTTAGACTTGACCTTAGGAATACAGTACTGGGGAAAATCAAGAGTGCAAGAAGACAGGAAGCAAACACTTGTGTCCAGGTTGACATTACATATACTCAGAGCAAGGAGAGTAGTTTGCTAAAACAGAACAACTTCACCAATGTTTACAAGGAAAAGATAGTCCTTTATCAAATTGCCAGAATAGTTCCATTCTTGGTACCTGGTGCCGTCATGGTGAGCCTGCTGGTCACTCAGCCAAGAAAGACGGAATTCCCTATATTTTCCTAAACACAGAAGACTATCTCATTCTGCTCCTTGTCTGTTTCTTTCCCTTACCACTGTCTCATTGAGGTAGTTTACTCTTTCTTCTTAGCACAACACTTTCAGAGTCCGAAAGAAAGAAGAGCACAGAATGTTGCAATGCTGGCCCAAACACAATTTCTATGTGCAAACATTTGCACCTTGAGAATAACTGACAAACTTCAGGCCAGCATTCATGGATTTAAGAATTAAACCCTTGTTCTCTCCAAATACTTGCACAGAGCAAGCAACTGGCTGAAGCTCCATTACTATTTTCTGTTGGGCTATTTCATTTTATGTTGCTTAAAAGAAAAATCACAGATAAGCCCTAAGTTAACTTGGATTTCTATGCATCCATATAGTGACCCAAATCCTTTAAAAATATCTATGAAAGAAAAATAGTAAGCAGTTTTTACCCTTTTGGCTTGTGATTTTTGCACCAGCAACCAGGATTTATGTTTGCTTTGTTTTAAGCTAACCATAATTAATTTAAATCACAGTTATTTCAGAGATCTGCAGCTAAATTATAATACTTTGTAAAATTCCATGGCATTGTTCCCAACAAAGGCTATAGGGACCACTGAAATGTATTTCATTCAAATGTTGAGATTTGCTATTTATATGAATTCCTTGAATTTTAGCTTTCATGGCATTAATTTGGAGCACTTGTTCTTGCGCAACAAACCTCAAGCCTTCGGTTTCTTTCCTGATGATCCTCAGTTTTAGCCATGCCCAAGTAAAATTATTTTCATGTTTGCTATCAATATTTCTCAGATATTGTCCATAAAGTGGTTTAACTTCACCAATTTTCTTAATCATAAGCGATTAAAACTGTTTTTTCTTGTTTTTCTAGAGGAAATTCTTAATATTTTTATTAAACCCAAGTTATTTAAGCAGGTTGTTATTGCTATTGTTGTTATCATAATTATCATTATTTTGCCATAACTGGTTTAGTTGTTAGTTTAAAATGATGCCAGAGGGGAAATTATTGATTTATATTCTTAAGGATCTCAAAATACACTAAAGAATAATTAAAAGTAATTAAAGCCAACATAATTCTGTAACAGAGCTTGTAACAAATTGCAAACAAACTGTATTGCAATTCGTAAGAAGTAACAGTTAAAATCCTGTTGCTTAGCACAGTAAATCACACTAGAGCAGGCCTATTTAATCAGTAAGGATTTGGTGTGACACTCCTCTGTAATTTCCATTAATTCAAATGGGCTTTCTTTATTTGCAGTTTACAGTTCCATTGATTACCATTGCATCTAGAGAAGGCCCATTTGAAATCAAAGAGGAGTTGACTCACTAAATACGAAAGTTCACATTAAAGTACAGCAGTTAGTCCTTAAGAGGCCACAATGTCCTTTTTTGCTTTCGTTTTGTTTTGTGTTTCTTGTTCAAATCCCAATTGATTCGGTGGGTTTATTCTACTGCAACTTAACACATTAAGCAATAGGATTGCAGTCAAAGAACGATAAATTATTTTAAAAAAATAAATATTTCAAGCTCTGTTCAGATATATTCAATATTATTCTTTTTGGGTGACTCGAAAGTTACTACGCTCTTGAACATACATATAGTATTGGAAGACCTGATGAAGAATACAGATACCATTTTGCAAAGAATGGGAAAAACAGGAGAGCCATACTCAAATGTGAAATATTTGGAAAATGTGAAATTATCTAGAGAACAACAGAGAGAGAGAACAGAGAGAGAGATTGAAATTAGTGAACTTCTTACACAACGTATTAAACTTCGCTTCCCTTTTAAAGAACTGAACTTTAGAAAATTTCTTTTTCCTAATAGATAATGCCTACTTCAAGCTCTGCGTTATTAACTCTTAATAATCTTTTCTACGAAGTTTCATTCACATTCCTCCTAATTTGACTACATATATTTAAAATATTGACCTTGAACTCTTCTCCTACTTTAAAACAGACAATCTTTATTTCAGTAGGCCTTGAAGTTAAAAATTAGGAACTTGAAAAATTCTGTATGGTTCTATCCCATACGTCTTCATTTAGAAATAAAGTCTATGAGACTTTGAAGCTAAGCATGGAACGATTACTTCCTCATCATATACTGAAAATTCACTGAGCAAAATGGAGAGTACACTGATAATGATTTAGGAACACAACCATCTGTCTTCTACTGAATCTGACTCAAACCATGGGTTCGGAGGTGAGTAACTTTGGGATGTTGAGTGACATGCTTCTTCATCCCCGGGAGGAACCTGCTGTCAGCTTCACTCTACTTGAGAAATATATATTTTCTCTATTTTCCCCCAAAACTGTAAGTATCAAGAAATGCACTTCAATTTTTGCAAACTGGGACAAAAGCTCACCTCTCTACCCTGTACAGACCCTGCAGCAAGGTCTAGTTTAGTTTTTTTGTGAATAGATCCTTCTGGGGTATCTAGAAGGCCAATTTTCCCTTTTTTACTGAAACTTTGGTTTGGGAGGACAGAGGGTGGGTTCAGGGTCTAAGATGCTGCAGAAGAGGGCTGAGGGGTCACATGCCACTCAAGGGCCACATGCTGCTCACTCCTGATCTAGCTCAGATTATCTTCACCAATTCATGGAGCAAAGATATTCTGCTTCTTGAATCAGAAGACGAGATGGCACCTGGCATACATTCCACGTGTATCTTACTTAACACTGTCAGGAGACAGGATCTTCTGACACCCCCGAGGGCAATAGTTTTGTGTAAGCCAGTGGTTCCCAACCTTGGGTCCTCAAGCTTTCCTGGACTACAACTCCCAGAAATCCTGCCTAGTGGCTTCAAGAGACTTCTGTGAGTTTTAGTCCAAGAACATCTGGGGACCCAGGATTGGGAACCACTGGTTTAGCGATTGCAGAACAGGCTTTGTAGCACACACAGGCTGAGGACTGAGAAATGATTGGAGGGGGGAAGGAGGCCATATCCCAGCCTCTTCTACTAACAGTGGTTGCTTCATTCCATCAGGTAGTAAGGTTGGCTATGCTGGATTGTAGTGATTCCCCAGGGTTTCAGACCAGAGTCTTTCCCAGATACATCCAGACATGCTAAATGCTGAAAGTGGGATTTCTTCAATGCACAGCACTTGTTTGGCCACAGAGTTACAGTCTTTCTCCATCTTACCAAACTAAAAAGACAGAATTGGGGCCTTGAAATATGCTTGAAAGGCCATAATTTCAGAATTTGGAAGAAGTTACTTTTTTTGGTTATTGCATGATGGCTAGGGGATTCCGAAAGCTGTATTTAATAAAAGTAACTCTTCCTAACCTTTGCATGATACATGGTTGATTGCACTTGGTTTAATGGGTCACAAACTTCCCAGGACCATTTGCAACAGCTTATATTGCACAGTATGACACAGGCTGTAGGATTCTTTTCTTTCACTGGCCACATGTTCAGTAATAACATAATAATTGTGTACTGTCAAGTCAATTCTGGCTTATGTTGACTCTTTTCAGATAGAGTGCTCAGAAGTGGTTTATCATTTCCTCCTTCTGTGGGTATCCTGGGACTGTGCAGCTTGCCCAAGGCCAAACAAGCTGACTTTTGTGGGATACACAGTGGGGACTGAACTCCCAACCTCTGGCTCCAGAGCCAGATGCTTAACTCACTGAGCAATCCAGCCAGCTAAAATATAATTGTGTGCTTTCAAGTCAGTTTTGACTTATGGTGACCCTTTTCAAGTATTCTTGCAGTTAGATAGCTAACTCACTGAGCTGTTCAGCCAGTTTACATGTTCTCTGCAGTGTCTCCGATTTGTGATTCTGTTCATCTTGGAGCACTAGGAAAATAATGCTGATGCTGCACAATGCAGCATGAAGAAAAAAGAGCTACACTTCAATGTTTCAGTCTAACACTGGACCAATCAGAAGGAAGGCATTCCCATGGGCCACAAATTTTGGTAACCACCTGGGTCATCTCTTCCTTGAGTCCTTCCGAGAGACTATTCTAGAGTGCAAAAAAGTCAGCCTATAACTTAGCGATGTACTGAAAGATACCCCAGAGTGTTGACTGGCTATAGGAATGGTGGACTCATTCCATGTTAGGCTTTCAGCATGGCTAGAAACAGCAACTTGTTTTCTATTGTATTCAGGACTAAGTGGGCAGCCTACAAGCATCTCCTCATGTGTTTAATGCTAATATAAGTGGATAGTTCAGATGATTACACCATAAATCTTATTTCCATTTCCCAGTCGGTTAATTATTGCCGCTCTCTCTGGAAGTTGCAAAAGCTATACCAATCAATAAGAAGCAAGTATCCAAAATGCTACTAGCCGTGTTCATGGTTCATTAAACAACCTTTTTTGCTGGCCTCTGCAGTGAACTCTGTTCAGGAAGTTGGAAACTGAATGTCAACTGACTCAGGCTATTTGACTTCTTTCACAACCCTCAGGTACATACCTGTTGGATATTATAAAAGGCTTCTGACATTCCTTGACACTTTAGTGTGATCAAGAAATTGAACTTTCTTACCTTATTACATATCAATACGTGACTGAATTACAGTATGTGGGGAGAGAGAGAGAGAGGAATAAAATCACTGATCATGTACCGAAAGAAAATTTGCCTCTGGTTTTGATAGTGATTGGCCTGGCTGTCATTCACAGGGACTAGCCGCCAGGACTGTAAATTCAGCATAACACTGGCAGAGGAAAACAGTGCACAAACTGAGTTCTGTTCATTTTTCCACTTACATAAACACTAGCACACTTATTCCTGTGATGCCAAGGCAAGCTATGCTTGTGCAACAAATTATACAGCCAGTTCTGCAACTGGTTGCACAACTGGAGAATTGTGATGAATCCCCCTCCTTTGTGCTCACTCTAGAACTCAGTGCCTCTGAGCCCATAATTATTATTATTATTATTATTATTATTATTATTATTATTATTATTATTATTATTATTACACAGAGGTCAGGATATATGTAACATAATTGTCTTCCATCTGTGTACATCATAACTATAAAATCAGTGGTCATTTTCCTAGTAACGTATAATGATCTGTTTTTGCCTGATCAGATCTCTTCTCTCTTTCTTCAGAAGCTCACCATCATCAGCTGTCAGCTACATGGAATTTGGCCTTCCTTTCCTTCCATTCAATATACAAACACAAGGCTCATGCCAGTGGAGGAGATCATACTGGAATCTGTCCCCTCCTGCTAACATTTTACTCCTTTTTAGAGAGGCTCACTTCCAATGTGCGGTGGGAAACATAGCCGGAGCCTCCTCACTCACTCACATATGCCCCCAAAAGGTACTGGAACTGGGTACTGGAACTGAATCAGTAAATGAACCATTTAAAGTACTTTATTAAAAGAATTATCAATCCATGGCATGAGAACATGATGGGCTACAATGCTTAATAAACAGGATTTTATGATGCACAGCCTACATGTATAACTTTTCGTTTGCCCATTTACTACATTCCAGTGTAACAGCTGTGATCTCTGTTGCTCTATCTATCAAGAAGCATCTTGACATATTCCTTCAAATAGAAGCAGGCCAAGTCACAGGGCTTAAACACATGAGGTTTAAAGGCATTCTGTCTCAATGAGATAACAGAACAGCAAAAGACACAAGTCCTGTCGTGAAAATGAAAATTCAAACAGGCGTTCATAGGGACTAGCCACTAGGACTGTAAATTTGGGAGTTCATATCAGTATTTTCTTGCCCAAGCTGTAAACATTTATTTTGATTAAACATCATTCTGGATGGAATGTGACTTTTATAGTGATATTAATAGCAGCGTTTTCCATACTAGGGGTTTTATAGTCCTTTAGAAGTGGAATTGTGTGTTTGCTAGGAAAAGAAATGGCTACCTATATACGTATAGCAAATCTTTTACAAACGAGATAAAGAACTAGTTTATTGCTTGTGATGGGGAAGCTGATTAACACCTTCTGACAACACTTTTAACAAATTTGTAGTTAATTTATCACTGACATTAAAGGCAGTGGCTATTTTGACTAAAACAGACTGCTGTAAATTCATCTAAAAATAAACATTCTTTTCTTTAAGAGGCATAATTAGTGGTAAATTTCCCCCAACTTACGCTCTCCATGCTATATCTTTAACAAGGCACGCAGTGGGCACCAGCAATAAACCGAGCCAGAAGTGTCCACACTTCAGCACCATTCCTGCCTGCAAAGAAGCAGCAATAAATATGGAATTAATTGTGATCTTATTTCAGAACGGAGTAAGGTTGAAAGGGTTTGCTCACAACATTATTGAAAATATATTACACACATTTTTAAATGGTGAAAAGCAACATATTAGTAATTCAGTAGATATTGATCTAATGATTTCTTTCAAAGGAGCCTATTGATATCTTTAAGGATGGACTAAAGCTTACTCCCATGTGGCCGTCCAGTTTCTCAAGTGTCCTCTACCAAAGGACTTTAGTCAATGTTCACCCAATGTCAGATCTGTGAAATTAAGACCACCAAAATGGGCATTCAAAAGGCATTCCAGGAGTGGCCCCGACATTCCTTTGGAGTGGAGGAAAAATAATGCCAGCCCTGGAACTGGGACAGTTCATTAGTCCCCCATTGGATAACATTTCCCATCTCTGATAGTCTGTATAAATCAGAATAGATTTTAAATGAATGGACCTCTGAGTCACTTTGACTGATGCATCTGGAGTGAAGGATCCACCCTGGATATTTTACTGGTGCCCATTTTACCATTCATCTGTATTTAGCAACAAAGTCGCCAGAGCAGTAGAAGTGCTAGACTGCTAATTTACCAATAGGTTCTTTGATGCTAAATCCTTCTTGCTATTGTTGGAATGGCACAGGAATGGTACATCTTCTACAGCAAATGAAGATACAGGCTAAGACATTTAGTCATACAGTGAGATCTCCTTGATCAAGCAGTAATCAAATTACAGTCTTAGCATTAATTTTAATAGTGTAACACATAATGCATGGTGTAAATTCACTTGCAGATGACACAGGCGTTTTCAAAACCATTCTATGAAAGAAGGTGCATTTCAATACATGTAGTAGAACATCAGCATAAATCCAATTGCTAATCTCAATAGAACAGATCCATTGAATCAATGGGATTTATGTAAGCATTGGAATCAATGGTCCCTCTGTGGTTGGGACTAGCATTGGATTGATGCCAACATGAGTGGTCATGGTAGATTTTCTTCCTATGAAAATGACCTATGATTGTTCATTCCTATCAAACAGAGTTGCTTAATGGTTCCATATTTATAGAAAGTGGTTATCATTTTGTGATTATATCAACTCTGATATCTCCAATACACTGGCCAAGAGTAAAGAAAATGTCTATACAAATGTATTAATATGCCAACAGGAAAGGACAGATCTGTGAATTTTAATGTTCAAATACCTTATAAGCATTTTCCTTCAATATAATGCATTTTGTATGTTGTTTTTGCTAATGTACTGTCCTGGATCTGGTCTTAACTACCGTAATAGAGAAGAACAGCCTAGAGTGGTCCTGATCCAATCAGATAGGCGGGATAAAAATAAAATAAATAAATAAGAATAAAATAAACAGGTCAGTGAAGTAGAAATTGTAAAAGCTTTGGGTGAAAGTGTTCATATCCTCTTGAGACTTGTTATACTTAAAAATAGGAAAGTTGATAAGTGTAATGAGTATTACAGAGTTTAGGAAAGCTGATTTCAATAATTTTCAATATTGGGTCATACTGTCTGGTGAGGAATACTGAAAAGGAAGGGAGTCCATGATGGTCAGGAGTTTCTGAAGGGCAAGATACTAAAGGCACCAACACAAACTATTCTTATGAGAAAGAAAAGTGGAAGACATGTCAAGAAGCTGGAGTGACTGCACAAGGAACTTTCAAATGAACTAAGATTTTTAAAAGGATTGAGTAAGAAATTGAAAAAGGAGTAAATTGCTAAAGAAGAGTTCTAATAACTGCAGAAAATAGGTAATAAAAGGCTAAAGCTCAAGATGAGGTCCAGCTTGAAAGAGAGGTTAAAAACAACAAAAAGGGAGGAATACTGAAAAGGAAGGGAGTCCATGATGGTCAGGAGTTTCTGAAGGGCAAGATACTAAAGGCACCAACACAAACTATTCTTATGAGAAAGAAAAGTGGAAGACATGTCAAGAAGCTGGAGTGACTGCACAAGGAACTTTCAAATGAACTAAGATTTTTAAAAGGATTGAGTAAGAAATTGAAAAAGGAGTAAATTGCTAAAGAAGAGTTCAAATAAGTAGCTAATACAGTTAGAATGAAGGAAGAAGGGATGGGGCTGTTGTCCAAGAAAGACAAAGAGGTGGCATAGGAACATTATGCTGCTTTAAACGAATGTCTTTTGAGCTACATCCAAGGGCATTAAAGTAACTTGCAGGTGTAATCTCAGAGCCTCTTTCTCTAACCCTTGAAAATTCTTGGAAAACAGATGATGTCCCAGAAGACTGGAGATGAGCAAATGTCATTCGCATCTTCAAAAAAAGAAGAAAAAGAAAGATCTGAGCAACTACTGACTGGTCAGCATGACATTGATATCAAGACAATTTCTAGAACAGATAATTAAACAGTTGGTTTGTAAGCGCTTATAAAATAACACTGTGATTTCAAAGACCCAGCATGGATTTCTCGAAAACAAGTCAGGCCAAACTAAACTTACCTCTTTTATTTATAGTGCCATAAGCTTTGTAGTCAAGGGCAATGCAGTAGATATATAAATATGTATCTTAATTTCATCAAGAGTTTTGACAAGCTCAATATTCTTTTGGCTGAGTTGATAAAATAGGAGCCGAATGATGCTACTGTTACTTGGATTTGTAGCTGGCTGACATGCCATACTTAAAGAGTGCTCACCAATGGTTCCCCATCATCCTGGAGAGAAGCTACAAATTGGGTGATACGAGATCCTGTTCTGGGACCAGCGTCTTTCAAAATCTTTATAAATGACTTGGCTGAGAGATGGAGGAGATGCTCATCAAATTTGTAGATGACACCAAATAGGGAAGGGTAACTAATACTTCAGAAGATAGAATCAGGAGTCAAGGCAACCTAAATAGATAGGAGGACTTAGCGAAAACAAACAGAATGAGTTTCAGTAGGGAAAAATGCAAATTTCTACATTTTGCTAGTAAAAACCAGATAAACAAATATAAGATGGATGACAGCTGGATCTAGGAACCTGAGCACATCATAAGCTTAACATGAGTCAGAAGCAGCAAAAAAATCAAATGCAATGGTCAGTTCCATCAATAGAAAGATAGTGTATACTTCAAGAGAAGTAATAGTATAATTCTAATTTACTTCACTCAGATTTCACCTGGAATATTGTATCTCATTCTGGACACCACTAGTCAGGATGGTAAAATGTCTGGAAACTGGCCCTGTTATGAGCAATTAAGGGACTTGGGAATGTTTCGCTTGTAGAAGAGTAGACCAAGAGGCATGGTGACCAGGAATCTTGGGCTAAGAACTGACAAATACTTGAAGGGCTGTCACACGGAAGATGGACCAAGCTTCTTTTCTGTAACTCCACAGGGTAAGACCAAAAGTAATGGATTCAAATTACTGGAAAGGAGATTTTTCCTAAACACGGGGAAGAACATCTTGAGAGTAGAAAGCTGCTTGACAGAGGAATGGACTGCCTCAGAGAGACTCACTGCAGGTTTTAAACACAAGTTGGATGGCCATCTGTCTGGGGTGCTTTAGCTGTGGATTTCCTGGACTCGATGACTTAAGAAGTAAGCCCCTTTCAGCTCTATAGTTCTCTGATTTTGAAAACCACAAACTATGCATCAGAAAACACATTGTCATTTTGTGGCCCAAGATGAATTTTACGAGGAAAAAGCTAACATAGCGTCATCAAGCAGGGTTGCCCACAAACATGCAAGGAGGAAGATAAGATGCCCTGGAAAGGACACTGCTGAATCTAAAATAAAAGGTATGTCCTTTCTTAATACATTTTTCAAAGTTTTTGAACTTCATTCTGTTACCAGTGACCACATTGTCAGGACATCTGTTTTTACATATTAACATACAGGAAAGAACAAGCTTGCTATTAAACCCACCCATGAGGGACATAAAGTTCTTTACTTTTTTCATTCTTCGATCTTGGCAGTTATAAAGAAAGCATTATAGGAGACAAAATCCAAGAGGAATTCATTTTATTTCCCTTTCTAGCTCTTCTAGTTGTTCCAAAGACCTCCTTCCTGAACAGGTGTGGATTATAGTTTCCATTTTAGAAAGCTGAATAGGAAGCATGGAGAATAATCTAAATTCAGGTTTTTAAACCAGTGGAATAAATTAACAAGTTGGCTGTTTTGTAATAATCAAACACAGAGAAACACCAAGAAGTCATAGTCTGGCTTTAGAAATACTGTACTGTATACTCCTTTGCTTGCATGCAGTCAGTTAAATGGATGGTAACATTACAATTAGTTTTAAACACCCATACTTTTATGTATGTACCCCCTTTCTCTTTAATGGAATTAGAACACAGCTCAGATGTGAAATCTTGAAGAAGATACATCATTGTATGAATCTAGATCCAAATATGCCATTTTGCATATCGGATTCATTTCTCATCCACATAAGGGCAAATGTAGGCCTCAAGCTAGGAATGTTAGTTTTTTTTTTAAATTGCAAACATTTTCTGCTTATTTAAGTAGAACTACAAGAAAAATCAAAGGAAGAGTAATAGACTTGATCTCTTTACTGCATGAGGTCTTGCAAAAGGCATGGTGAAACATATTAGCTGTTATTTTCCTTCTAGTTAGAGCACTTTCATATTTCCTTTTGCAAGTGCCACTCTGCTAAATGTGTCTGTCAGTCCCAGCTAGACTAAACCCAATGAATGAATGAGACTTGTTAAGTCAACACTTATGAAATACTATTTATCTAAAGGGTCTGCTCTAGTTGGGACTAACAACTGGATTTAGCCCAGTATAGGCCAAATACACTAATGCGATGACACGATTTATTCTGTTGAAACTCTGTAAATCATACTATAAAAAAACGGATCACATCTGATGGGATGTGAGCCAAATTCCATTTAAGCAATGGGTCTTGCATATCTTCTTAGCCTCGCAGGCTACTGTCTGCCTCACAACCTATCTCAAAGGGTTCCCCAGCCCTCATGAACGGATTGGACAAGGTGTGTAGGGGAACTGCAGAATAT